AGGGAAATTCGTTGGGGCAGGGAATAAAAAAATAGGGCACTCACGGGGAATGGTGTCTTCAAAATTCCCTCCGCTTTTCTCGGGGTTTGTCCTTCTTCCTTTCTTCTCTCTCCTCGCTCTCCTCGGTCCCTCTCCACGAGATTCAGTCGCACAATCTTTCTCTCACAGTTCTCATACGAGTTCCTCACGATAATATCCTTTCCTCACAATACAATCCTCACACTTCCACGCAATATTTCTCTCTTTCTCAATAGTTCCTCTTCACACTCTTTCTTCTTCATTAATTGTCTCTCTTACACACTATTTACACAGTATTCTAGAATAGTTCTCTTCACAGGGTTTCTTCTGCTTTTACTCCTTATTAACACTTTTTCAGGGTCTTTTCTGGGCCCTTCTTCACCGGATTCTTTGGGGGTAACTTCGTTGCTTTCTGAGGCAGTGACTCGTGGGGCACTTGTGGCACGAGTGATTTCTTCCAATCGTCCTCACCTCTTCCTTCCTGATTTTTTGGGGGGGTCATCGGGTGTCCTTCTTTTTCTCATTTAGGGCCTCGCTCGAGGGATGTCTCTTTCCTCCGGGGTCACGCGGGGTCTTTTTTCACGATGTTGATGCGTGAGTGCCAGGAGGAGGGAAAACGGGGACGGGGGTTAGGAGTATCTGAGGATGGGTTGCCCAACGGTGGCAAAAAAGATTACTTAAACTTAACTGAACCTATCAAAGTAACGTGTATTAATGAGGGGGCAGGGGGGGGGCGCAAAATTCTGCCTCGTCACATACCATGTTAGCGTCATCGTTGCCTAATTCTTCTCTGCTTCCAAGTCTGTTCAATTTGGTAGATAACTGCAGGAAGCTGTTGTCATCGATTAGGAAAACGTTGCGTATGCAATCAGCTTGCGTTTCTATATATCATGACCGATAACAAAAGAGAGCGACCATATGACCGAACTGGAATTATAAACATTCCATGAATTTGAAATATAAATATCGTTTTTACTTTCAAAATACGCTTTTTTTGCGATGAGGTATCACCCATAATAATTATTTTGCGTCCAGACGATATTTGCAATAGTTCAATAAATAAAATAGAACAATTGTCCTAAGACGTGGCGATAACTTTACCCAATAGTTTGAAGCAGATAATTCATGGATAACTAGACGTTGTAGGGGAATAGAATATAACCATGGTAAGAATTCCAAAGATTGACGACGAGAACAGGACAAAGCTTTAGCTCACTGGGGCTGTGAGTGGCTCGATCCTGACCCCGGAGTGATTTCATCGTTTTCTAAGGCCTGATTTGGCAGTGGTTTACGAGGTTATTGACGAGGCTTATTTCAGCCCTGGTTCAGATTGAGATTCAAGAGGTTGAAACTACCAGGGCTCCCTCATCCTTTAGACAGGTCTCATAAGTAGCAAAACTTGGAACTAGGATTTTTTGGAACTCTAACGTACGAAAAATAGACTTCTCAGGCCTTCCCAGATTTCACACTCTTGGTACCTGTTTAAGTTTTACTCTTGGTATGTGTTTTTCATCAAAATTACAAGTTAGAAGGCAAGCTTGCAAATGCAATATGAAAATCTGAAATGGAACTTCCAGGTTTATAGTCCTAAGTTGGCCATTGTAAATTTTTCTTTCCCACTTTTAAAATTGCATTATTTGAAAGGGAGCTAATAATTACCGTAGACAATTTCGGAAAGATATCTTCTAATTTTTTTCATAGCAAATTAGAATTATTCTCTCTTCTCTTAATTTTTTAATGAAATACGGTCCCATTTGTGCCTGAGCAGATGGGCTATTTTTAATATAACCATTAGGATTTGGACATTATCCCGATGCTAGTAATCGGATGACTTGACTAAATACAGATATTTTCATGTCGTTTAATTTTTGAGCGATCTTTGCTGTCATCGTAAAATATAGTATGTTTCAATTCGGATTTTCAATAAGCATAACCGTCCCGAGCTGAAAAGTACTTGGAGAATTTGAACAGATAACTTCATGCTTGCAACATGAGCATATTTTATGTGAAAATGGTAATTCTTTCAGCTTCCCTCAAAAGTTATTTATCCGTAGGTTTTCCAAATGGAATATCCTATATATTATTCCAAGAAATTTTATGGAGAAACCTTAATGATTGACATGTCAGACTCTATAGCATAGATGTCGCCGTTGGCTTAACATTTCGCAGACGTGTCGCAAATATTGCAGTCTTTATCATGCGACCTCTCGACTCTAAATTTATATTCGAACAAGTAAAACACATTTCTCTATTTACTTTTTCGTGTGCATTGAAAATTTCCTTCACTCAGCTAATGAGTATAAAATGAGAAACCGGACGCACCATTTTTCAAATAAATTTCACCTCTTAATACTTGTGTTTAGGTTGTCGGCGTTCTTAGAAATTTATGTGCAGTTCACTTCGAACGTCCTGCATAACAAATATGTTCTGTTCCCGATTGTTGCAATTTAGTGTAACCGATATGAAACCATTGATGACTAGGAATATCGTAAGCGAAATCACCGTAGATAAATATTTTACCAGAACTTTTAATTATCACCCCTTCCGAAAAACTCTATTATTCCGCCTGATACATATTAATAAGTTTCTGGCCTTTCATTATCAACACAACATTTCCAGTTTGTCCCTCCATGGAGGGGTATTGTAGAACCGGGCTGGGCAACCTCTACTTTGAGAGCAAGTCGTGCTCCGTACCTATATTATCTGTTCATTCAGAAAACGGCAGAGTTCTAGAAATTTCCTATGAGCAGGTATATCCGACTGACACCAAATTTCATTGCCTGTCGTTTGTAATCCCTGTCACTATGGCCTACTCACTGAATACGTAGATGAAGTAGACTAAATCGTGCAAATTGAGCCTCTCTCAATTAAAATGACAAATGTCGCCTATGCAGCCTTTTTAATTAGTTCAAAAATACTTAAATGGGTGTTTTTAATCAAGTAGTATCATCTCTACATTTTTAAAGGAAATGGATCGCAAATTAGGATTCAGAAGTTGCAAAATTATCACACAGTTTATTCAGTAATCGAACACATATAGATTTTAATCTACTGCGCATTTTCCACTGAAGTACTACTGCGCTTTTTCCATTGACGTGCGCGTGCAGGAAGGGGTTGGGCCTCGGGAAAGATACACAGAATGTTGCGTAATTGGGGTTAAAAAAATTTCGGAAATTTTTTACAAAAAACGATATATTCTACAGCATCGTTTTCCAAATCATTTCGGTGTGGAATGTTATGATCTACAATCGGTATTTTTTTCTTAGAATTCAATGACTTGGATCGTAATTACGGATGTTTTTCTCGTGAACCCCTACAAAAACTGAAAATTTTTATTTTTAAAAAATATTTTTTACACCGATTTTTTCATGATCATTTTGATATGTTATTCAAGACATTTTTCTATATCGAATGGATATTTTTTCATCGACTGTGAATTTATTTCCCAGTTAGGGAATTTTTGGGTCTAATTTGACTACACTATAGTACATGACAAAGGGCAGACGAGACCACATTTTATCGGGTGATGGGCCTTGACGACCCAGATCCTGAAGGCCTTTCCCCACTGAAATCCACCGAAGTGGGGTAACACAAGAAAAGGCAAAGAGGAGAAATTTCGCTGAAGAAAAGGAAAAGCGGAAAAATGAGTAAAATGACATGACAAATAAAAGATCAAAAAGTCTGCTGAATTTCAAAGCTGAGGATCAAATTATACAATGTTATGTTCAAGTGGTTCGGGAATTATTTATTCAAAAAATAAAATTGATTGAAGTAAAAATGTTAATTGAAGAAAACAAAAAAAAACAATTATTAAAAGAACAATATTAATTTTTTATATCGAGAAATAACAGCTGGTAAAAAGTGCAGACACTGGTATTTTTTCTTTCATATATTTCTCGGAAAGGTCGTTATTAGACACATAATTTAAGAAGCAAGTTGAAAAATGACTATAATTTAGGAAGTGGAATTCCTAGAACGATTCCAGTTTTTTTTCCATAGATAATACTTATTTTACATTTAGTTCAATCACTCTACAGAATTGCAAGCTATTACATGCAGATTCGATGTAGTTTCAAGGAAAAATTAAAAATAACACTTTTTCTTCTGTAAGACTGATTGAATTTCATATAATGTAACTTATCATTTTTCATCTTCTTAAATTTTTCAGGCTATTGAGTGTGTTAATTATTGATTTGATAGCACGACTTGATAGTTGAATTGCCACAATCACAAATTGGAATTAATCCTCGCAGTATCAATTATTGATATCTTTCAAAATGCTGTCCAAGAATCCGCAAAAATACGTAATAGAAAACTCACTCAACAGAATTAATATAGCATTCATTTTCTTCTTCCAAATTGAAGTCAGGTTTCAACGGAACGTGAGTAACTTATAATTTGAACGAATTGTCACAGCATCATATTCATAAATATTTTTGTCTAGGTTTGGATCTCCTCATTTCTTTTTTTATTAATCGCGGCGGCTATTTTTCTCACTTTATCATTTGATAGACGCTTTATGGGATGCTCTCCCATATTCCAACTGTGAGGCCCCCCACTACTGTTCCCACATGATCGTACTAGGACCCTTTATAATTGATATGGTTATAAACTTTATTAAATTCCTAACTCAAGTTTATCACTCTGCTTCGATCTACCTGGAGGTTGTCCATGCCTGTTATAGAAGACTCACCTTCACAAGTCACGGTCCCGACTAGAACTTGACAAAGTCTTTGGAATTTTTACTCCAATGTTTGCGAAGTATCACTGCTAGGTGCTACGTGGCGTTTCCTGGAACTAATTCCCATAACTATTCGGACATTAATAATATTTCAAATCATTATTGCTATGTGAGCCAGAAATAGTAGATGATCCTATGCCTTTTCTTCCGGAAGGGTTTAGAAAATAATTGAGGGGATCGCTTTCGGCTTCTAGTAAGTTTTAGCAGTTATGTGAAATTAATGTGGTATTTTTGAATACAGATGTGCGAAACTGGTTATGAATTGTCTCTCGGCGTTCGATGACCCATCGATGAATCGGATGTCAGTGGCAATATGTTCAATTCTAGCCGCTAAAATATCGACGGTGGAAACTTCAATGTTGGGAGCAAAACCTCAATATATGTCTAAATTACTTTCAATGGTCAGATCAAAGATTGAATCAAAATCAGTGGACATAACCATGAGATTTACACTGAGTGCCTTATGGAATTTGACGGATGAAAGCGCGATAACATGCAAAGTGTTCTTGGAAGAAGGTGGCATGGATTTGTTTTTGGATGTACTTGAGGGTTTTCAAGGTGAATCCAGTGTGGAGACCAAAGTTCTGGGGTTACTCAACAATATTGCTGAGGTTGGTATACGATAAAAGTGGAAGACTACCAGTTTTTACTCGAATATTTCTACAAGTTATTGTTGCATGAAAATAGAAACTAAACTAGGCAACAAATAGTGTATTCTTCCAGGAACCGAATCATTATGGATTAATTAAAAAGCAAAGATATTTCATGCTATTAATTTTTTTTTTCACCATAATATTTTCCGTTATGCTACCAGGCGCATGCAGCGGACACAATGGTGGACAGGTCCGGGTTTTTCTTGAATGTTTTGCTTCTATATTAACGTGCGCTTATATTCCTTAGTTTTTAATCGAAATTATTTGATAAAAATTACCCAGAACAGTTATTGTGTAACAGTGTGTAAATTGTTGTACTCGCCTCCATGCATGCTTTTTTTCTTTTTTCCTCTTATTAGTATATTCAAATGTATGATATACTGTAACGGTATTTTCCTGATGTATTTTACTCAGAAAAGCATCCTTACACCTACCCGAGTGGAAATTGTTTCTGGCTGCTCTGTAATTGAATCAGTAATTGATCAGGTAGTTGCAAAATCATCCTAATCAGGCGATTCTCAATGACGAACTGATCACATATCGATCGAGCTACTCAGATGATTTCAGCTGAATTATCCTTAGCCTGATTAGCTGGTGCCTGATGAGGATCAAGTCCTGACCAAACTCCAATTTGAATTGCTTAAAGTGATTCTTGATGGGGAACTCATAAGATTTTTATTTGATTCAACAAGACCAGATTCTCACTTGATCAGACGATAAGCTTCATCTGAACAGATGAATCCTGATGAGAATCTCATCCAGCTCCGATCCAGTAATCCGGATCCCGGAACTTACAGACTATATTAAATCTATGAGGAGAGAACGATGGTATCATTACAAACGAAAAAACATGTATTTGAATCAAGTATAGTAGAATCAAGTATAGTTAACAAAGACAATGAATATCGTAGTGGACATCGCATAGACAAAACAGAGTTGATTTGATTATAATATCACGATAGCTTCGGGGCATAAAACAACGCAATATGGCAGGTTCGAGCTTCAATATTGGTAAAATGATAAGTTTTTTCGCGAGAATGATGGGGGTTCATTAGCATAAATGAACTGTAGTGATGAAATTGAATTATTTTGGTTTCAGCTCATAATTATTGCTTATTTCCATCATCTGCTTTAAATACTGCTGACTTGAGCAAATCTTGAACTGTTTAACCTGATAAACTTTTGATTAAAAATGCAGTTCCATAACTGATCAGGTGCGTACTCGATCCGGATGTCGCACTTACATCCAACGTCGGGTACGACCTGATCCGTTTTTTAGCTGAAACTTATTGCGATTTTCACCCAGATAGAATCTTGTCTCATATTCTATGCTGGGCGTCAGGTAGATTTTCTCGCGATGTCTCATGAAAACGACTCTTGAGAAGCTTGCACCCACATAAAGGACTGCTGGGCTGCTGAACACACTGAATGCCGAGCTAACCTTATTGTGATAAATATAATGAGGGTGAACGACTACAAGAAAAAAAATTTCTTTTGAAGCTTATTTCGGGTCGTACCATCGCGATCACTTGCGACTCTAAGCATCGTAGAATGATACCGTTCATTCCCTGTCGGCCCTTTCGGGCCCTTCGGATTTGTTTTCCTGTTTCTGAGTATTCTAATCCGGAAGGTTTTCGGACTCCCATCCGATTTTGTCAGAATCCTTCGGGATCTGAGGGCTCAAAAGGCTGGTGTGACCAAGTTGGATGTCTCTTTCATTCACCACAAGGTGCTTAACAATATGCTATTGCGTGGTGGTCGCAAGTTACACGAGTCAGCCATGCTACTTTTCAGCTTGAAAGACATTCACCAAAAACCACGCGTACCTTATACTGTAGAGTGCGAACGGCCACAGATGTACGTGGCTGTCGACCTGATAGCCAATGGTGAAAGTCCGTGATAATGAATCAAACACCTTTCTGGGGTTAAATGGGAGAAGCATAGTCAATTGTAATTTATAAATGCAGGTGCGTATACAGGGTGCCCCAGAAGTACGTGCCGATACTGAACCGGCATGTACAGGGGGTGAGTCTCAGCCGAATCGGATCGGACACACCCCTCGGGAGATATTGGGGTAAACAGGACAGCCAATGACACTGCAGCGTTAAGCGGCAATACGTCCGTGTGGCTCCGCGCTCAAGTGTGAGTGATTCCCCTTCCAGCTAGCAGGAGGCGGGATAAAGTTTTATGTTCATCCGTGAGCGCGAGAGAGAACGCATGGTATTTCTCTCTCACTCTCTCGCATCACTCCGCGACAATGTTTTTAGCGTTATCTTTAAACAAATGGGTTTTTGGGAATTTTCCATTGAATATTATTTGGTGCAAATCGAATTTGCAACAAAATAATGTCAGGTAAAAATCTCATAAGCTCAATCATTCATTTAAACTGTTTGATGGTTTAAAAGTTATTAAAAAAACTATGGGGCCTACGGCATTTTTCCATCACATAATTTTTGTTGCAAATTCGATTTGCGACAAAAAATAATCAATGGCAAAATCCTCCAAACACTATTGTTTATTAGATTATTCAAGAAGAACGTAATTGCGAATTGAGCAGTCGTAGCGTTCGGACGTGTTTTTCGTGTTCTCCGCGTGGTTGAAGTGCTCTCACTGTATCTCTGTTGTGTTGAGGTGTTTCGTTTAGTGAAATTTATCATTGACTCTCAAGGAATTGAGCTCGGTTAAAGCCGGATTAATTGGTAGGTCCAGGAGGACTGAACCCATTATAAAACATGAATTCCACCCAGAACGAGGCCACCTCGGCCGTGCTTAGCTCGGATGAGGCTCGGCCTTCCTACGTCTCAGCAGCGAAATCCCCGAGCAAAATTATCTTTGAACAAGCTATCATCCTGAATAGGACAGCAGATGCTCCCTTTGAAGACTATCTCAACGCTCTCGTAAAAGTGATTCCACCTGCAAAACTCTGTTGCACCGATACCATCCACAATAACCGAATTATCGTTTGGTTGGACATCCCTAAGATAGTCGATGAAGCCATTGATTCCAAGAAATGCATCGTGGTAAACCACTATGGTATTTACATTTGCCCTTATGTGACGAGAAATAAAAGAGTAGTATTCACTCACTGCTTCCCTCAAGTTAAGGAAAGTTTCTTGGAATCGAAACTGGCCGAAAAGGGGATTAAATTCAAGGCTCCCATCATAACACTGACACCAGGATTCCATAACAAAGCACTCAGTCACGTTACATCACAGAAGAGACAAACGTATATTACCCCAGAGGATGTTTCTAAATTACCGACACGCAGTACCACTACCATCTATGGCAAGGAGATCACGGTTTTTGTGGTGTCAGAGGGCTCTACTTGTTTTGATTGTAACCAATCTGGTCACTCGGCGAGAAACTGCCCGTCTAAATCAAAAGGTAAACCGACTGTTGTGAACGGCTCTATGGATCCTCCCCTACCTCTTTCCACTCCTTCTGATTTCTCAGAACTTAATCCCCCCAAAACTACGAACCCTCTACCCAAGGTACAGAATTCTCCACCCGATTCAAAAAATCTCCCTATCAACAGGAATGGGGAAAAACGACGAAAACTCCATGCAAACAGAAACATCCCATCTGGAACAAAAACCTCACCATCATCAGTCTTCAAGAGACAAACGTCCACGTTCTCACACGACATCATCTGTGCCCTCTGCTTCGGTGACAGATGACCGTGAAGAGGATGAGAATTTGGATGACCCAATCGATTTAAATCCGGAAGCATACGACCTGGAAATGTTACAGGAGGAATCCGCCGTTGTGGAAACTGATCCTAGTCTCAAGCGAAAGGAACCTACGAGGAAAAAAACAAGGGTAGAGGTCACCGAACCTGAATCTCAGCAGTCCAAACCCGCAGATTCTAAACCGGAAGAGACCTGGGATGAATGTGAATCCAAATTTAAGGACGACCCGGAAGATTTCCCACTCAAATTTCCTCCATTCAAGAAGCTTATCATGGATACACGATTTCACAGAAACCTTGTTGAAAACACGAAAAAACTCACAAGCAACATCAAAGGAGTTCGACACATGTGCGATTACCTGAAGAATGTTATTCCAACCAAAACTTTGAGGGCTCGCAACCTCAAATTTATCCTACACCTTGACGCATAAATCGAGGAAATGAAGCAGTTGGAGACGGATACTTCATAATGGCTTCACACGTTTCATCAAGGAACTCGTCGCGAGTTCGTTCAGATCTTCAGCAGCCATAGTCGAGATCTTCTCTTCAACTAACAACTAGTGGACCGCGACGTATTCGTAAGAAACTCAAAATTCTGTACTGGAATTGTCGAGGCTTCGACAAACGTGGAGTAGAACTCGAAACTCTTGTCAAAAACATAGACATCTTAATTTGTGCTGAAACTCGCTTGAGTCCCAAAAAAAAGGTATTAGTTTCTTTCCCGGTTTCTACTGGATCAGAGAAGATAAATCTCACGATAGTGGGGGAGGAATACTTGTCGGAATCAAAAAAAACATTCCATACAAAAGAATTGAAACCCCCAATATCTCTAATAAGTTAATCGAGGCGGTGGGTATGGAAATCTTCAACTCCAAGCCTTCGTTCAAACTCTATGCATTTTATCAACCACCCAACACCTCACCCTCTCCATCCCAATGGGATAAAATCTGCTCCCTTTCTACTGATCCTAATAAATCTATCCTCGTTGGCGATTTCAATGCCCATCACCAAGCCTGGAACTGTGTTCACAATAAGCAAAATGGCAGAAAATTCTTTGACTCGATTGTACCACACGACCTCATGATTCACAATCCAGACACCATAACTCGATTTGATGAGCACAGTGAGTCCAATATAGATCTCGTTCTGTCCTCCCCCACCATAACGGATAACATAGAAGTAAAGGTATAAGACGAGACACTTGGATCGGATCACTTTCCGATTCTTACTCAGGTCTCCATTGATAAGCAAATTTCTGAGAAACGGACGT